CCCCCCCCCCCCCCCCTTGAAAATGAAAAAAAAGAATTGAGCTGGTGTCCACCAGAAATAGAAGAACATCAGAAACAAGCAAGCGCCTCCCCGCGGACACTCACCAAGAAAGGCGTCGTTTGACCGCCAAAAACGTCAATACCGAGCGCAAATGTAACGGCTCCCCCGCTGAAATCGCAACAGCATGGTCGCTTGTGTCCACCAAAACCTGAAAAGTATCAGAAACAGGCATCGCGCGCGGCCCCCCCGCCGCCGTACTCCAAGAACAGCGTCGTTTGAACGCCAAAACGTCAAAACCGAACGCAAATGTAGCGCCCTCCCCCGCAAAAAACGCAACAAGAACGGTGACTAGTGTCAATCAAGATTGAGCCAGGTAGAAATGGATAACAGAGNCCCCCCCCCCCCCGGAAAGGACAAAATGTGAAGCGTCCGATTCGAAGGTAAAGGCGAACTTGAAGGAAAACAAACTGGTGCTCAACAGGGAAAAACTCATCACGTTTGCAACCGTATTTTGTCGTGGGGAGCACACCCAACAACGTAGACTTGTCATCCTCCGGCTATCTCTTCAATAAGACGACGATAACGACGACGAGCACCAGATTGAGATGAAAGAAGCGTTAAGTAGACTGATGATCCAACATCCAAACTGCCTCACAATTCACTCCTCCCGCTCGTTTAGGCTGCAAAGCAAAGCGAGTAGAGGGGAGCGCGCGGGGGAGGGGGGGGTAGGCACCGGGTACACCACACAGTCAGGCCTCGACGCTGAGGCCGAGACGGCGCGCCAAGAAAGGGTGACCACTCAGGCATACGGGCAGGTCCCCGAGAGGCCGCAACAAAACAGGCAGAATCGCAATGAAAATATATTTCGACCTCTTCCACGGCCGCATGACCCCCCCTCGCCTCCTCCGTTTCGAGCCGGCCTTCCGTGCGTGCTTCTTTAACCTCTCCGGCTTTCTTCTTTCCCTCCATCGCCGGCTGGCGCTTCACTGCTTCCTCCCTCACTCGCCGGCGCCACGGTGCCATGAAGAAATTCCACCCCTCCCTTCGACCTCAGCGTGCTGTCTCTCCTCCATCGTTCCGGCTCTTAACTTCCACACCCTTTGCTTCTCCCTCTCAGGCCGAACTCGTCCAGGTCTTTGTTCACGTGGCACTGCCGGTCTTCTTCCTTCCCCCCCAGCGTGGTGGTCTTAAGGCTTCTGGCAGCCCGCGTATTTTCATGCATAGACAGGCACCCGACTTGCTGGTGGACTCTAGAGGGTCAAGAGTGCGGCGAACAAGAGACGAGCTCCCGCAACCTTCTCCGGGTGCCCGAGAGTGGCGTTGCCCTTGAGTCTAGTGTCGTACGAAAAAAGGTTCAAGTTAAATCCTAGTCGAAGGTCGCCACGGTGCACGTAGGGATGTGCTCAAAGATAAGCTGGATCCACTCAGCCGTGGTCGGGGTGCCCCCGCTGAGTGCACTCTCAGATTCGCCCATCCAGTGAATGTTGTAGCGGTCGAACCTCTCGTTCGAACCGGCCAACGTGGACGACAGGCACACGCTGCAGCTCGCACCGAGAATGTCGCGGTCGTTCTGCTGCAGCGCCGCGGTAGCACCCGCCGATTCTGCGAACACCACGAGAGCCCTCTGGGTCTGGCTCAGTCGGATCGTCTGCAGGAGAAGCCTGGAGACTCGTCCGTAAACCGAGAAGACCTCCACCAGGGAACATTCCGTCCGCTGTCGGTCGAGGATCGGCAACCCTTGCACGAGGACTGACCGAGCCGCTTGTTCTTCCGTCACAAGTTGGATCCCGTCATCATCGAGGGTCGCCATGGTGGACTCCGGGGTCGAATCCATGACGAGCTGGATCCACTCAGCCGTTGTCGGGGTGCGCCCGTTGAGCGCATTCTCGGCTCTTTCGGCTAGCCAGCGAACACCGTTTTGGTCCAAGCTCTCGTTCGAAGCGGCTAGCGTGGACGACAGACTCACGCTGCACCTCGCGCCGAGGATATCGCGGCCGTTCTGCTGGAGAGCCGCGGTGGCGCCTGCCGATTGTTTGAAAACCACGACAACTCTTTGGGTCTGGCTCTGATGGATCGTTTGCAGGAGGAGCTTGGAGGCTCGTCCGTACACCGAGAAAACCTCCACCAGGGCAGCTTCCGTGGGCTGTAGATCAAGGACAGGCAACCCTTGCACGAGGACCGACCGGGCCGCTTCTTGCTCCGTGACTTCCGGTAGCTCGTCGCTCTCCGCGATAATATTCCCGTCATCATCGACGGTCGCCACGGTGCACGTAGGGATGTGCTCAAAGATAAGCTGGATCCACTCAGCCGTGGTCGGGGTGCCCCCGCTGAGTGCACCCTCAGCTTCGCCCATCCAGTGAACGTTGTAGCGGTCGAACCTCTCGTTCGAACCGGCCAACGTGGACGACAGGCACACGCTGCAGCTCGCACCGAGAATGTCGCGGTCGTTCTGCTGCAGCGCCGCGGTAGCACCCGCCGATTCTGCGAACACCACGAGAGCCCTCTGGGTCTGGCTCAGTCGGATCGTCTGCAGGAGAAGCCTGGAGACTCGTCCGTAAACCGAGAAGACCTCCACCAGGGAACATTCCGTCCGCTGTCGGTCGAGGATCGGCAACCCTTGCACGAGGACTGACCGAGCCGCTTGTTCTTCCGTCACAAGTTGGATCCCGTCATCATCGAGGGTCGCCATGGTGGACTCCGGGGTCGAATCCATGACGAGCTGGATCCACTCAGCCGTTGTCGGGGTGCGCCCGTTGAGCGCATTCTCGGCTCTTTCGGCTAGCCAGCGAACACCGTTTTGGTCCAAGCTCTCGTTCGAAGCGGCTAGCGTGGACGACAGACTCACGCTGCACCTCGCGCCGAGGATATCGCGGCCGTTCTGCTGGAGAGCCGCGGTGGCGCCTGCCGATTGTTTGAAAACCACGACAACTCTTTGGGTCTGGCTCTGATGGATCGTTTGCAGGAGGAGCTTGGAGACTCGTCCGTACACCGAGAAAACCTCCACCAGGGCAGCTTCCGTGGGCTGTCGTACATCAAGGACAGGCAACCCTTGCACGAGGACCGACCGGGCCGCTTCTTGCTCCGTCACACCGTGTAGCTCGCTGTGCTCGCTCATGGTACCGTGGTTGATGTGCGTTCCCAAAACCTTGCGATGGCGGTGCGTTCAGCCAACGACGGCGTTGCAGCGTATGACCCTATTCCTCCTCGCTGCGGAGGGAACCGATACAGTGAAACGTCTATCAAGTTTTTTTTGCAGTGTTTTCGTCAGTACTTGTCACCCAGCGCACCAAGGGTGTTGTCGAAAGGATGGTCCGGTAGAGGCCCAGCTGCTGCATGGAAGAGCAGAGGAAACGACGCGAATCAATGCGTCAGCCGCGATGTATTAATGCACATGCTGTCACGAAACTACACCGGGTCATCGCAGACAGTATTCCGAAGATTCACCCCCCCACCCCCTGCTGCTCTCGGGCATTGCAAGTCCCGAAACACCTGCCACCACGCACTCCTGCACCGACTTGCCGCCCACAAGAGCAAGAGCGATTCACCACCATACCAGCATCGTCATCACCCTCGCCACAAGCGATCGTTCCAACCGAAATATTGCGTACCTACAATTCAGGCAAAGACAAAAATATGAACACACAATGCTGTTCCGTATTGTGTGTCCGCATTGTATGGGAGGTTAGTGTGCGTGGGCATATTCGATAATGAGCCGCAGGACTTCGCACACTTTACAGCAGTGTACAACCCTCAAGTAATACCGCATCAGCTCTTACCCCGAACTCCAACGCGTCAACACAACAACTAAATAAATAACTAGATCAGAATAGGACGTTGTGCAGGTCAGCATAAACAGTGAACAACGAGGTTCTCTTCGGGACAACAATGAAAGTGTCAAGTCAACCCCAGAATTTATGAACACGTGTTACCGTTGGTGACACAAGAGCGGGGGTGCTGAGAAAGGCGGCGTTTGAACCGTCTCGTTGAGATATTTTTGAAGACACATCGTTTCATTTAGGCTTCTTCGTTGTCTTCGTCGTAGAGTAATCGACCTTCAAAAAATCGGTCCAGGGGGGGTGTGGTATCCTGTGTCACCAATGGCAAGCTTTGACACCATACACGAGTGATACACATGTTTCGTCCGCTGAGTGCACAGCCGCACTATCAGTATCGTACAAGGGGAGACTAGCCGGCAGCAAGCATTCAAACGAAACAACACGCCCGACAACAGCACGAACATGGAAACAACCAATGGGGCGGGAGGGGGGCAGCAGACGGACGAAACGGCGAGGGACGACAGCAAACGCGAGGAGGCGGACCGAGTGGCGCGACATGTTGTGATTGAGCCCCTTGATTGACTTATCCCCCTCCTCCGTCGCTCCCATTCTAGACTAATGTGGGTTGGCGCTGTTGGCAAAGCGCTGTAAAACACGCCCCCAAATAAAGCCCCCATAGTGTGCGCTACCAAAGACTCGTGACGAATGGATGAGTGGAGTGAGGATAGCTTACGGAAACCTCACAGGTTGAGTGATGATATAGGAGATTGCCGGACACATAAACGTGTTGAGTGATTGTAGCTGTATACTGCATTGCCGGACACGTAGACGTGTTGAATGAGGATAGCTGCATACTGAAACCTCACAGATGCAATGGTTTTTGAGTTCGCCAGACACATGGACGGGTTGAGTGGGGATAGCTACATACTGAAACCTCACGAGTTGAGTGATGTTGGATAGTGCCAGACACATAGACGCTTTGAGTGAGGAAAGACTCATACTGAAACCTCACAGGTGATATGCATTGGAGATTGCTGGACACATAGACGTGTTGAGTGAGGATAGCTACATACTGAAACCTCACAGATGCATTGGTTTAAGAGTTTGCCAGACACACAGACGCGCTGCGTGGGGATAGCTACATACTGAAACCTCACACGCTGCAGCTCGCACCGAGAATGTCGCGGTCGTTCTGCTGCAGCGCCGCGGTAGCACCCGCCGATTCTGCGAACACCACGAGAGCCCTCTGGGTCTGGCTCAGTCGGATCGTCTGCAGGAGAAGCCTTGAGACTCGTCCGTAAACCGAGAAGACCTCCACCAGGGAACATTCCGTCCGCTGTCGGTCGAGGATCGGCAACCCTTGCACGAGGACTGACCGAGCCGCTTGTTCTTCCGTCACAAGTTGGATCCCGTCATCATCGAGGGTCGCCATGGTGGACTCCGGGGTCGAATCCATGACGAGCTGGATCCACTCAGCCGTTGTCGGGGTGCGCCCGTTGAGCGCATTCTCGGCTCTTTCGGCTAGCCAGCGAACACCGTTTTGGTCCAAGCTCTCGTTCGAAGCGGCTAGCGTGGACGACAGACTCACGCTGCACCTCGCGCCGAGGATATCGCGGCCGTTCTGCTGGAGAGCCGCGGTGGCGCCTGCCGATTGTTTGAAAACCACGACAACTCTTTGGGTCTGGCTCTGATGGATCGTTTGCAGGAGGAGCTTGGAGGCTCGTCCGTACACCGAGAAAACCTCCACCAGGGCAGCTTCCGTGGGCTGT